AGAAAGTGAAAGGGGAAAGGGCCCGTGGCGGGTGGGAAAAAGAACGCCGCGAGGCGCCACTACAATTTTTAGCGGCAGCGCCGCCACCAAAGACAATAGCGCGGGGCGCGGCAGGATCTTTTGTTTTTTGTTTTTTTTTTACTGCCACATAGAGACCGAAAACGAAGCGTCTCCTTCCCTCCGCAACTCTCTCACACGCTTCTTACTTCACTGCGGCTCTTTCCTATTAAACAAAATCGTTTTCCTTTCTTTCTTTCCAACGCCCTCCCTCATTAAAGCTGTACTTCTAGTTTCATTGTCTGCAGCGCCCCGCAGACGCGCGAACCCGCCGAGCGGCACCGGACGTGCTCGAGGCCCGCCGAGTTGAGTCGCTCCCCTTTGTTGGGCGTTTTATCAGCGAGACCCGAAGGATACGAGAGCCGGCGGCTTCTGGTGCTCGTGCGGTGGTCAAACTCGCGGCCACCGCCGCGAACGCGGCGACATTGTGAGCGCAGAGACGTGGTCATCGCCTCGAAGAAGACTCTCTCGCCGCTGCAGCGCTGTTAGTCGTAACGCCCGATGGCTCCGCCTGGAGAGAGGAAGAGCTCGTGAAAGGAATCTGAAGGGAAGGAGGTGGTGAACGGAGGGCTTCTGTGGCCACTCCGCGTTGAGCTTAACAGTGTGGTATAGAGATAAGGAGCTCGAAGCGCATACCACGGCTGACCGCCGCTCGAGCGTGCAGCTGAAAGCTGGAGGGCGGAGCTGGATGGGAACGTAAAAGGTGTGCGCGACGGGAGCGTTTAGCGACTGACCCATCTCGAAGTCTTTAAATAAATTAGCTGGAAAATACGCGGAACACAGTAGGGCTAGCAAACAAACGTAAATAACGGTAATTAGGCTGTGTGTCGCTCGCTAATATGGAAACACGATTTCATTGCCACCGCGATGGGCCTTGCGGAGCAAATGTAGAATTGTTCAGCACGGCAAGATATTGACTCATAAGAAAAGCATTCTGTCTCGAAGAAGCGTGCCGCAGCCCGACAGCGCGGCGGGAGACGCGAAGTGAACTTCAGTGTTAAGTATCATTGCGGATATCTAAGAGAAGCTCGCTACCAACGCACACAATCGTGCGTGAGTGAGCGCGTGTCAAGGTCACGTGTCAAGGTCACGTGTCAAAGGAAGGTTACATAAATTATCAGAAAAATGCGAGGCATACCAACTCAGAAAAGAGCAAAAAAAAAGGGGGGGGGGGAGGTGGGTGCTAGGCACTAATGATGCGAAGACCGAGGAAGCGGCGGAGCCGGTGGCGTCGCCTGCCTCATTTCCCTCCTCATCAACGTGCTCCCCTTTGTCGCCCTATAAAAGACTGTGCTATACTTCTCTTCCCCTTCTATCTCCCATCCTCACGACACTTTCCTTCCTTTTGCTATACTACACTTCGCTATCCATGACTGTGCCATACGTACTTTCCCTTTCCCTTCCACTTTTTTCTTCCTCTTGCTCTCACACCAATTTCCGCCCCTTGCTATAATATACTATATGGGACGCCAACCTCAAACACCTCTCGGCTAGCAAGCCGCAAAAATGAAACAGTTCATCAAGGCACGGCCCAGAGTGAAGAAATTCAATGCCGGGTAAGGGGGGGGAGGGGACAAAACTTTACCGAATGTACGAAAGAACGTCTTTCTTAGACCTCATATATCGGTCACATCTGAACGCGGTTTTACATCAGGCTCCAAAAACACATCGATGCGGACTCGCTATGGTGCGACAAATTCTGAAACAGAGACCAGTCACACCTCCGTAGCTTACCCGCACAGAGCGTTATTATTCACAATAGACGTGAAAATAATGCGAATACAATTTCGTTGTAGGTCAATATATTTTGTTCTTTACGAAGCCTGCGGGTCGCAAGCTCAACGGGCGAGTGTTTGAGACCACTGTTATACATGGCTGTGCAAGCGCTCTTCTTCTGCATGTTTGCTCATATCTTTCTCTCGGTATTTATTTCTTTCTCTGTTTTTTACGTTCTTTTTCTCTTATTCCTTTTTGCTCTGTCTCTCTCTCTCTCTTTCTCTCTCTGCGTAGTCATTCTCTCGTTTTCTCTGTTTGCTTTCATCTCTTTATTTATCTGTCTGTCAGCTATATTTTTCTATCTGTTTTAATTATAAGTTCGTAGCGCTTTGGACGCCCGGCTTTACGCCAATTCATCTCACGTGGCGTAGCCACGCTCACAATCTAGCGCTCAACATGCGTCTAAAACACGGCTAGGAATGCTCCAAACCTGGTTTAAACAAAACGAACGCATAAAATGGCATAATTAACAGCAATGACCAAGTAATAGTAATAGTTAACTTAAAATCACTAAAGAAAGTTTCGAGCACGTGCGGTTCACACCTGCGCCGTGCAAAAGAGTGTGCAACTACCTCCCAGAGCGTGCGATATATAGCTACTGCCACCTGCACTTTGCCGGCGCTCCTTCCGAAGTGCCGGCAAAATGCAGGTAGCAAAACAATCTGTTGAAACTCGCAGCAGATGGCACGTATCGCACCAGCCGTAACAAGCAGGAAGTCGATAAAGTGCGTCAAAATTTATCGCGCATGTTGCCCATCAAGTTTACGAATCTCCCAAGCAAGGTTCAGCTCGTGCCTTGGAAAGCCTATAGATGCTTGCCTATTAACGGCATTAACGGTCTCGTATAAAATGATCAGTGGGAAGTTATACGAGTGGTAAGAGAATGGAAAAAAAATGGTAGGGAAGAAAAGGCAGGGTGGTTAACCAGTACAGAAAGGCCGCTTTGCTACCCTACACGCGTGAGCGGGAAGGAGGAGATTGAAAGAGGGAGAGAAGAGAAAGATAAAGATAACACAGCACACACACACAAACACGCAGTCAGTTACATTTCCGCCACGCTCACGTGGTACGATACATCTGTCACAGCCGTACGAAGTGGTAAATAGTACCGCGTGACCGTGCTACGCACTTTCCCAGGATTCACAGTACTAAACAGCAACTTCATTTTTCTTTCTTTCTCTTACCTGCTACTTTTTCTCTCTTTCTCTATACTTCTCGCTTTTGTCTTTTTTTCCCCCTCTTGCTTTCTGTATGTGAAGGCGCTTCCTCGCCCATCAGCGTTATTGCATTCTCCACCGCGCAAATCGGCACCCGTATTCCAGGAGTGATGCAGAAGATGAAGGATATGACGAAGAGAGCGTGTGCCGTCAGATGATGATGATTGCTTTCGAATTCAGCTGAACCGCTACGCCCGCAGCTCTAACAACTTCACTGTTGAAATACATAGCCCCAAGAAGCAACGGGCATCCTCGCCGTAGATACGAACTCCCTTCGGACGGATGCAAACGCTTCGTGTCAAGTTCTCAGGGGAGCGGGATGCACCAAGATACGGCGTCCCACCATGGGCGGCCGCGACCGGCTTCCCATGCATGCCGACCACGCGATCTTCTCAACGACCCACGCTAGGAGGAGCATATATATAACCCGAGAAGATATACGAAACAGCAACGCCCGCACTGCGGTACTTCTTGCATTTTGTATTACACTGCCGGCGCGCGCGTACACTGCAAGACAGCCTGGCTGATTGCGCCGGTGATACACGAAGAGAAGGGGAAGCAAAGATGGCCGGCACTTTTCCTTCTTTCCCTCAGGTATTTCGATCCGGGAGTCTAAATTTTCTTCGCGTACTCTTCCCGATCTCAATTTAGTGTCTCTCTCTCTTTTATACGATGTAGTCTTTGTTTTAGGTTTGTGCGCCACACAAAGTTCGAAGGAGCGCGCGCTGTAGAGGGACTGGGAGCCGTACACTATCCACTACGCCGCCTCCAGCGAGATTTGATTTCGAAGGAGCGTGACTTCCATACGGGCTGCCGAGATCGACCCGGCCGCGAGCGACGAACACAGAGAAAAGCAGAGAAAAGCAACTGAGCTACGCGAACATCGGAATCAGCCAGAGGCCCGATGCGGCTCTTTTCAGAGCCATGGCGCCCACCAGGCCGAGTGAAGAAGCGTGCAATGCAATAACACTGTCGACTGGTGGCGTCATGAAGCGGCGAGCCAGAACTCTTTCGCTGTTTAAGCTGGTAATAATTTGGAAACGTAAAGGGAAAAGAAAATCATTTGAAATGTTTATAAGCGCAGGTAAAAACGCCCTAAACCACTCCGACTTCAAAGACGAGAGAGTAGTGTCGATATCGTCTTTACTGCCCTCCCCAAAGGCGATACTTCCTCTTCTCCGCTGATTTCTACAAAAGATAGAGATGAAGGTTAAGTGAAAGGCAGGGAGGTTAACCGGAAGAAAATTTTCCGGTTTGTTGCCTTGCACTGGGGAAGGGTTCCTTTATAAAACAAGCGTACAATGTCATGAGTGAGCGTTGAGCCTGTCAGGATTACGCACTCTTCGTCTCCAGGGCTGTTATATTGGCATTTGCAATCGTAAACGCACAAAACGAAGTGAAATCAGTTAGATCGCGGGCGACAGTCATGACTGCAAGGCTTAGAACGGGCGTGCGACCGCGTGGCAAAGCAGGCTGGGAGACAATTCAAAACCGATGTCCCTAGCGTACGGACCAATCGAGAACTTATTTCATCCTGACGTCACGTGAACCGACGGTTGACATCGCGTATTGTGCCGGAAAAAAAATGGGACACTCCAGGCAAGAATAACACGCTATAATATAGTTGTTTATAATTTCAGGTGTTGATTAGATGACCTTTAAGTCTGGAAGTTAAAGCTGAACTTAGAACGAGACATTTTGCCTCTAGTATCAGCCGTAAAGTCTATAGATAATGTTGCCGGCCATGCAGATTCATTCACACTCATTCTTCTATTGCACTCTTTTTTTTTTTTGGTCTACGGCGCTGTTATTCGGGTCACACGTTTTGCCCCATGTTCACGGACGATCTCGATGTGTAGTAGTTTTACAGCGCATTCGGCATTTTACAACGCGCAGAAGCTGCTACAGGTAGAATAACTGGGAACAGATGACTGTAGCGTCAGCACTTACATGACCATGGAGGAGTCCAGGTACCTGTGAAAGAAACAAAAGTGATAATTAGCGAGTGATAAAAGATGTAACGAGAATATTTCGAGAAAAGGAAACTAGATGATATAAAAAAGGAGATAGAGGTGCTTTAGTGAAGGTATTCCAGTACTATAGTATAGAAATACCACTCCGCTTCATTCATTCTCTTTCTAGCAGGTAGCATCGTCACAGGCGTTACGCTTGCGAAAAGCACAACGACTGTCCAAGTTTTTATCAAGGCAACCAAATTGTGAACATGGTGAAGAAGACAACAATGCACAGCAGCGATTAACAGTCCTTGCTACTAAAGGTAGAAAAGAAACTGAACACAGTTACAAGCTTCGGTCATTATGAGTAAACACATCAGAGGATTTTTAGAGAGGAGGGCAAGAAAGTGCGACAGTCATCATGGGCGTAGCCAGCCAAATTTTTCAACACGCCCACATACAAACGTACGCGCCAACATGCTTAAAGTGTGGTTAATCACCCCCCCCCCCTAAAAAAAAAAAACCTGGCTACACAACTGCCAGTCATTAAAATCTCGAGTTCGGCAGATGTCCACTGCACTTCGACCCCTCGGAAACCTTTCAAGTGCTACACCACGTTTTGCAATCATGCCACTCACTCGTTTGAGTAATGGCACGGGTCTAGCGAATGAGGCCGGTTATTTCGACGACTTCAATACTTCGGACGTCTAACTCCATTACCATTTTCTAGCATAAACACTTGTCTTTGTTTCTTTTCTTTTTTTTTTTTTGCACTGAGAAGTACTGAGAAGAACGCGCACGTTTTCTTTTGCACGCGCCGCGATTTAGTGCACCGCCTACTGTACGAAACGAAAATTGTAGAAAAACTCCTCTCACCCTCGTCTCCATTTTTCTTCTTCCTGCGCAACGCAACGTGGCCTCTTATCCGTGCAAGCGAAACAACTCGAGTCAAAGTGAACGACGCACGGATCTTGAAGGGAGTTCATAGCACGCACCGCGACGCGTGGTCGTAAAGAAGTGCCGGGGCGTGCTGTGGTCGCAGACGCTCTCTGCCCGGCTGACCACACACTGTTTCCGGTGGTGGTCGTGAAAAGTCACGCCGTCGCACGCGAAGTCGCAAGCTTAGCGATGGGATGAAGTGCTGCGTGGAACTTCTTTTTCTCCCGCCGTCGTCCACGGATCTCAGGAGGAACCCAGTGCGGACAGACCGCGGGCACGCGAATTCGATGGGGCGCCAAATGGAAGCGTAGCACGAAGGTGGATATATTACTGCACTGCCGTGTATAGGAGATGCATGCTAGTGTTGCGCAGCAGTAACACTCCGGCGAGGTCACAAGTGACTAATACTATGCCGAGTCTAGAAGCTTCCGACGCAGAGAAAAGATCTTGGACGAGCTTTATGTCGTCCCAGCCGATCTGGAATTACAGCTGTGCACCATATTTGCCTGAATTTCAAGCCGGCCCTTTTAGGGGCGAAGTTCCTATAAAGGCGTAGTCTGTCCATCCTCCATCCCTGTATGTATGTATGTAGGTATGTATGTATGTAGGTATGTATGTATGTATGTATGTATGTATGTATGTATGTATGTATGTATGTATGTATGTATGTAGGTATGTATGTATGTATGTAATGTATGTATGTATGTATGTATGTATGTATGTATGTATGTATGTATGGGCTTATGACTCTCAACTATAACAAATCTAAATGCATGTCAATAACCCGGCGATCTATGTTCTCCCCCCTGTACCTACAGAATTAACGCAGTTCCCCTCCAGCATGTCTCTTCAATAAGTACCCTCGGCGTATACATACCAACATCTATCTTGGCACACGCATGTACTACATCTGTAATACGCTAACCGAACCACTAGGATACTTACGCCGCAACTTTTCTCGCGCTCCACTGTCCCTCAAAATTCTACTATACCGATCACTACTTCGCCCAAAGCTTGAGTACGCGTCCGCTATATGGGATCCCGTGCAGCAAAATTTAATCAACGCGTTAGAATCTGTTCAGAACCGCTCAGCTCGGTTCATTTGTTCTAATTATTCCCGTACTGCTAGCATATCAGAAATGAAATCTAACCTTGACCTGCCCAATTTAACTGTCCGGAGGAAACTGGTGCGACTGCATTTTTTTCATAAGATATTTTTTTCACAATCCATCAATGAAGCGAGACCTCATTTCACAACCGTCATACCACTCATCGCGCATTGATCACCAGCATAAGGTTGCCATTACGTTTTGCCGCACCAAATTTTTTTCAGCAGCCTTCTTACCGAAAACAGCCGCCGATTGGAACCACCGTTCCTCTTCCGTTGTAACAATAACAGACCCTTTGTTATTCAAGACTGCAATTTCTCAGCAATGTTTGTAACTATACGCAGTTTCCATTATCTATCTTTGTCTGTATGTGCTTGAATTCTTACTTATACATTTTAGTTGATTTATGTTGCCTTTGTGATTTGCGCATCTGACACTTGTTTCTTTTCTTTGTCTTTTTTTCTTGTGTGTTATAAAATGTTGTACCCACGCCCTCTGTAATGCCCTACGGGCCCTGAGGGTATCTAATAATAAATAAATAAATAAATAAATAAATGTATGTATGTATGTATGTATGTATGTATGTATGTATGTATGTATGTATTATGTATGTATGTATGTATGTATGTATGTATGTATGTATGTATGTATTAGTATGTATGCATGCATGTATGTACATGACCGCCTGTCTACAGTTTCACCTTCGCCAACTGCCACCTGCTTCATCCTTGCAAACATCCCACAATGCCCCGTCACCGATCCCCCACTTCACCAACCATAAAGCAAATACTGTTGAGAAGTAGTCAATATGAAATGCAAGATGGTCGTGTACTTGTATCCAGGTGCGCGTTAAAGAAACACAGATCGTCCCACTGTGTCCATTCCTTGTTTGTACGTGACCACCTATAGTTCCACTTTGCAAACTGCCCAGTATATTCGTCCTTTGCAAACATTCCTCTACGCCCTATCACTGATCCAACACTTCAGCGACCATAAAGCCGTTTTAATGAAGGGGGAACGAAAGCGACGTACAGCTACCACTCACGAACAATAAAATTTCTTGCATAAATATATACAGCGTTCGTCACGTCTTTCACGATGTTGTGGGCAATATTCGTGGATGGTTCACGGTTTAGCGACGAAACCCTCCAGCGTTTCGCACCACTCATTATCATTCACTTCGTGGATATGCTGTGATTTTTTTTTTTGCTCTAGCAAATAAATAATCACTTACTTAGTGCCCTGCCGCGGTGGTCTAGTGGCTAAGGTACTCGGCTGCTAACCCGCAGCTAAATTAAAGCACATTAAAGAACCCCAGGTGGTCGAATCACCTGAGCCCTCAACTGCGGCGTCTCTCATATTCATATGGTGATTTTCGAACGTTAAACCTCAAGTATCGATTGTCAAAAGAATCGCTTACGAAGTGCATGACCGATGAGGTAGCGGTACCATTGCAGCTGTAACCACGGGCGTACGCGCAAAGGGGGGAAAGGGAAGTATCGTGATCTATCTATCTATCTATCTATCTATCTATCTATCTATCTATCTATCTATCTATCTATCTATCTATCTATCTATCTATCTATCTATCTATCTATCTATCTATCTATCTATCTATCTATCTATCTATCTATCTATCTATCTCTTTTTGCTTTCCGACACTTTTTTTTGTGTTCCAATTCATTTATCACCTGCTGTCGTATGAGGCCCTTCATTAGGCGTTCTAGGCGTGGGCATGGCTCTGTGATAAAGCGTTCTAACTTGCTCTCTCTCCCTTCTGGTAGTTATCCCAAGCACGTAGGTTTATGCCTCTTGCGTCACAGTGCCTGAATAGAACCGCATCCTTCCGTCACTGCCATGATCACATCGGTTAAAGACGACAGCCATGCAAACTCACGGGCAAAGCATTGCGGGCGTTCGTTGGCGTAACGCAGGGCGTCAAATGGAAGCATGGCACGCAGCCGGTATCAACAGCGAATGAATGGCACCGGTTACGCAGCAAAAGCCTGGCTGCGTTCACCCGTGACAACGGGCGAGGCGATATTCCTCGCGAGGCGCCCGTAAACTACACGGCATCAGTGACTTCGTGCCAAGTGCACGGAGCTAGTAGCATAGTATATACACAAAGAAGAAGCGTGTTTGAAAATAAGAATGCATAACAAAAGCGCTGGTTGACGGAGGATCACTAAAACGCGCTTGCAGTCAGCCAGGCATTAAGCGCCCTTTGCGTGCTAGGTATAAATGTCGAGAGAAAAGGCAACTTCTGCTTGTTGCTGAAGCTTGCACTTCCTGGAACCGTAGCTTGTGCGCATCAAAGCTGTTCCCGTTGTGCCTGCTGTGCATAGAATAAAATGACTTTCCTGTTTTTTTTTTTCTTCATTATTCGTAGCACGAAGAAGCAGAAAAGGGGGAGAATCCTTCCGGAACACCGGAAGAAAGTTTAAACCGCTTGCACGGGTATGTGACCGTGGATGCTGTATACAGGGAGAACAGGCTGTGCATAGTGTTCAGCTTTACGTATGTCTAATTTTTATAAAGTAAACACATGGCACTTGAAGCGAATGCACAGTCTTTCGTCTGTTTCCTGAGCTTTCTAGTTATTACCTAATTTAACTTGTTCATGCAAAACACGGAGAAAAATTGTTTTGACCTTTTCAAACTGTCGCTCTCAGCACATTCACCAGCATATTCGCCAGATGGATTTGCCATAGCGAGATATGTTGTGGCACGCCAACGCACTGCTACTGCCCCGCTTGTTAATGTTGCGGTGCTGTTCAGGATGGCACGAGCTTCTAGGGCAGAACCGTTTGCACCAGGCCCGCTCTGCGGCGGCCACGGCATAAAGACAGTGCGGAGCGCGTGATAGGCATCGTTGATAAAAATGGCTACAGGAACGCGCGTGGCGTTGGAGACGAACAGTGGGACGTTCGCAGCTGTTATCAAAGAAACACCGCGTGTGAACACGTCAGCG